GTAATATTGTAAAATGCAAATTATATGTGTGTATAATGTGAAGGATTACTGTGTAATCATTTTATACTTAATATAATTGAAATTAATTTAAGTATGATAGTATGTAGTATATTTATATATATGTAGGTTTAAGTAATTATATATGTTATTATTTAACATCTATCTGAAATAGTGGATAGAAATCATTAAATATTTAACATTATTTATTACATAGTATGAAAATACTTTTAAAATATTAGATAATAAGACTAGCAAATAATGGGTGAATAGTTAAAGTATTAATTAATAATTAAAAATGTAACTAATAAAGTAATTAAACTATGTTAAATGACTGGTAAATATTTATTGCTTATTTAAGATGTTTGTTATTATATATATAAAATATATTTATGGTAAAAATACTATTGTAATGCCAATTGCTTTGAGATATCTATTTAATGTATGAAGTAAAGATCGAGAACAGCTATGTAAGTGCATGGTTGTAATCTTTTTATATTTAGTTAAGTATAGGATAGGTTAGTTGTAGCTTATCTCATATATGTATCAAAATTTAAATATATAAAATAATTTATTAAATTTATATATGAAATATATATTTTATATTATTTAATATATATGTAATAATTTGTATATTAATATTTATTTAAATATATAAACGTAGCAAATACATAATATAAATTAAATATTATTTCATATATTAAATAGCAACATAATAAATATTACCTAAATTATATTTTATATGAATGTTTGATATAAAGTTTTCTATTATATTTAATGTTTACATGATGAATATGCAAATTACCAATAAATCATTTGCTTAAATATTAATTTATATAGAATTATTAATTAAATATTAATTATATCTTTTTGTAGAATAATAGTTATGTTTATTATCAGTTATTTAACATTCAATCCAAAAATCTATCCAATAGTTTAAAAATCCTCCCAGAAAATCTAGGACTCTAACAAACAAATCCAAGTCCAAATGTGAATCCTAAAATTTAGGATTCTCGAATAACAATCTTAATCTTGCCAAACAACCCCGAATGGATAATACCATCCACAGGGCCGGCCCAGAGGTTTGGGTTGCCCTAGCCTAATCTAATTTTGGTTGCCCCTTATATTAAAAATTTGGTACGAACAATAACGATAAAAATGAATACATATAATACCATTTAGCATTCTATATTGGGCTCAAATTGATAATATTCTCTTGCAAAATCAATATTCATATAAGAAAAAATTACATTTGTGCTACAATTTAATTCAAAGAAAAACACTTCTCCTTGAACTTTTTGAAGCGAATTCTTCAATTAAGTCATCATACTCGAGTTTCTCGAAGTATTCATTTTCAATTGATATCATTGCCTATCCATTCAATCAATCCTGTGACATGGTAGTGCGAAGATAAAATATATGAAATCACAACAATCAACTAAACTGATGCCGGAACAAAGACTTAGCAATATCATTATTATTAAAACAGTCAAACAATTAATCTAGATAGCAATCCGATAATATGAATGTCATCAAATCAAAGTTAAATTGAGATTATAATTAAAACCAAATAGAAATATATCAGATCAAAGTTAAATTGAGATTATAATTAAAACCAAATAGAAATATATCAGATTATCGTCCATTAGGATTTTCGAGTTTTAGATGACTAGAAGGGAGATGAACTTTTTAACAAGTAAACATTATTTTTTCTTTCTATCTTTCAACTTTGATAAGCTTCTCTTAAACTTATGGAGACCGTGAGAAACTAGTCAGAAGGCAAAACTGTGCCACCCAAATAGCTAAATTAAATCTAATTTCCAGTTTCAAAACAAAAACCTAGACGAAACCGCCCAAACATCATAACCCCTAATTCAACAACTAATATTCAGCCAAGATTCAAAACCAGAAATCTTAATTTCATTGTAAAACATCAAAACCCTAAATTTTCGTCCAAAAAACCCCTAAAATTATTTATTTAAAAAAATTTCCTGATTGTGTTTCTTTGATGGACCGATCGGCCGTCGGCATCGATAAGTCGATTCAGATTCTCTCCGTCTTTTGGGTGACTGGATCGGACTGTCGGAGGAGGAGTCAGTGAGGTGGTCCGAAGGATGGGAGTAGAGACGGGAAGGAGGAGTTGAAGGCTGACGAAACAGAGACGGCAGAACAGAGCGGTGTCTCCGTCGATTTAGATTCTCTCCATTTTTTTTCTTTTTTTTGAGCGGCGGAACAGAGACGAGAAGGAGGAGAGGAGACTGACGGAAATAAAGGAGGAGTTGGGTAGGGCTTTGGGTATTAATAAGAGTTTTTTACTAATAGAACCCCTAACAATTTTTGCATAAAAGTCCTCTTACAAAGTCCACTTTAAAAATTATTACGGTTTGAGGGGTGAAGGATGTAATCGCGATGGTTGCCCCCCCGGCCCTGGGTTACCCCAGCCCCGGGGCTTGGTGGGCTTACCCCAGGGCCGGCCTTGACCATCCAAGGGGTGTGTTTGTACCTAGGCCAATACTACAAGGGTCTTATTCACCACAGATAGATCTAGAAAGAGTATTTCACAACTGGATGATGCTATCGGAGATCTATTCGCGTAAGTTATATAAACACTGAATAAAATAAAATAAATAAAAATGCACACCTTGTGGAAGAAAACCCTATAGCGCACAGTTCAAGGTCCAAGGAAGATTATATAGAGAGTAACCCGTTTGGATAATGGAAGTATTGGAAGTAAGAAGTAGGTTATAGAAGTAACTTTTAAAACTATGAAGTAGGAAGTAGTGAAAATAACATCTTTTTTGTTTGTTTCATATATTTTTAGAAGTAATGGAAGTAGAACTTCTTCATCTTCATTTACTTTTTTTTTGTTTGGATAACATTTAAAAATATTACTAGGAAGTAATTTTATCAATGAAAAGTTGTTAGAAGTAACTAATAAAGAAAATATTAATAAAAAATTATTTATTTCCTAATTAATATGCATTTCAACTACTTCCGAGCTATTTCTGAGTATTAAGGATTGAAAAAATATTTTGGAAGTAAGGATGACACGTAGGCGCCACATAAGTGTTTAAGGAAGTATTTGAAGTAAGTTTTTTAGAGAACCAAACATGCTTTTTTGTTTGGAAGAGCATCTATTTCTTTTACGTCAGCTATTTTATAATTACTTCCGTGCAAACAAACAGGCCAAACAGAATGTGAAGATTGAAAAAAACTAGTAGAGCCGATACATGATTTAGTATAATTATACAAAATTGAAGTTGACTGAAAACATGCGCATTATACTTCCACCCTAGACGATTCCGCCCTCTCCTTATGACTTTTATCCCACAAAAGGGCGAAATGAATAGAATTAATTATTTGGGCCAGGCGGCACAGAATCAGATTTTAATTGGGCCTTCTATTGAATATTGCCAGTATCTAAAGCCAAGTCCAATCTAAATCCAGCGGACGCAAAAAATAAAGATTTTCAACCGAAAAAAAAAGAGTGCAGTTTCCCTTCCGAAATAACAAGTAGTAGATGGGAATTGATCAAACTAGACTCCATCTCAACCGTCCATTTAAATCTTACACTTCTCAGATAATCACCTAGTCCAATGTCAATACTACTGCAGTTACCAATGCCCGTAACAATATTTTCTATTTGAAATTAGTCCAAAAACACAGTAATTACGAATAGGGTTTTACGTATTCACCCCAACATTTAGACATTTGCAAATTCACCCCTCCTCAACATTGAGTTCAAATACCAAAAAGTCATGTTATTGAATATAAATCTAATAACGTTTACCTGGGTGGTATTTAACTCAATGTGGTAGAGTTAAGGGTTAAATTGGCAAATATCAAAAATTGGACGTAAATTTGGTGTTAGTCAGCCAGAACATTTTTGATAGAAGTGGAACAATTTTTATTATGAGATAATTTTTTAATGTGAGATATTTTAATGGGATAATTGGGAGTGATATTTTAAAACATGATATTTTAGTGGGGCAATTGTTAGTCTAATCAAGGATAATTTTCAGAAATCAATAAGTATACAAGTCATTTATTTTGATGATCATACTACTGTTTATTCATTTTATAACTTCTTCTTCTTCTTATTATTTTAGTGTTAATTAATCTTGAAGAACTATTAGGTAGACTATATGATTAACTTTTTGATTTTTTAGAATTATTATTGTAATATAAATTAAAAAAATAGCTTTTCCTTTTTTCCTCTTTCTTTTTTGATCTACCAGACATCATTCCATCATCTCTCAATTTTAATTAATTTTTAATAAAACATGAATTTTGTAATTTTTAAATTTAAATTAATTATACAATTCAAATATTTAATAAAAAGTAAAAAATAACATTAAATAGAAGGGAAGGATAAGAAGAGATGCGATCTAATTTTAGGTGTGGTTTGAAAATGACGGAGAAATGAAATATGAAAAATAAAAAAGTAAATAATGAAGTTCTAGTTTTTTACCATGTAGTTCTAGCTTAAAACTTGGGGCAATTTGAGAGACTAGAACTCTCTCTTTTCTATATAACTAGTTTTTATGCACGTGCAATGCACGTGATTAAATGTCAAAAGATTTATGGACTAATATTAAAAAAGCCCTATTATATCTACTCAATCATCAAAAACTATTGACTCAACGTAGTACATTTCTTTGAGTATATGCATGTGAATGATCTTTTTATTGCTTTTTTCATACTTAAGTTTGGTCCTCCACGTCATTTTGGTATGCCGAAGAGAAAATATGATACCCTTTTTGTTAAGAGATTCTGTCGTATATATTTAATATTACATTAAACTTTACATATAAAGGACTATGATTCCCACAAATTATCTAAGTTCTAATTTTGAGTTCTTGCTTGACTACCTCCACCCCCCACCCCACCCACCCAAGGTTACTTTGGACTTGGAGGGAATTAATATAGGCAAAAACTCTTTAAAAACTTTAGGAAAAATAAAATAAAAATAAACGAGTATAATACGTACATAAGATACATTGTTAGATAAAATAGAAGGAAGGAAGCAAGCAAGCAAAGAAAGCCTCCCCCTCTCCTCTTTCCTTTGCTCCGCCTCCAAAACTTCTCTCTCCTTCTTTCATGCTCTCTTCTCTCCAAGCAAACTACAGGATCTTGAGGTAAAATTAACAAACAGCCCATTTTCTGAACAATATTATTTCTACTTGATTTAAGAGGTGTTTTTTTTGTTTCTGGGGTTTTGTCAGTGAATGGAGAAGGAACAGAAAACACAGAGGCCGAGAGTAGCGGAGCCCGAGCTCTTACTGCAGTGGGGGAACAGGAAGCGTCTCCGCTGCGTCAAGATTCGGGATGATGCTGGAGGGTCGTCGCCGGCCAGATCCGACGGCGAGAGGCGCGCCACGTCACGCCGGCGTGTCATCAGAGGGGCGCTGTTGGATAGCAGCAAGGATTGCAATAAGGAGTTTCCCTCTTCTCCTCTGGTTTCCTCCCCCTTCATTCATAATAGGTAACTGTCCAATTTTTTTTTTTTTTTTTTTTTTTTTTTTTTTTTTTTTTTGGGGGGGAAAAAAATTTTTGAGGATGGAAGAAAAATTAGATTTTGACGCAGTTTTTGTGATACCCAACTGTTGGTTTCGTGCAAATAGAAGATGATTTTGGTTGTGTTTGGTTTGAGATCCCTGGGTCTTTTGACTCTGGTTCAATTTGATTGAAATTACAGGAGGTTTTTGTTGGGTTCAAGTAATGTTTCATCCAATTGAAGAAAACAAGTAAATCAAAGAAAAAACTGTATTTTGATGCGAGCCTAATGTTGGTTATGCTGCGATTTAAATTAAAAGAGGAAAAGAGAATAAAACTTGAATTCGATGCAATAAGAGAAGAAAGTTTTGAATTTGGTGCAATTGAAATGATCAATTCCTGATTTCTGTGAAAGTTTGGTCACAAAACAAGATTTTTGACGCAATTTTAAAATATCTAATTGTTAATTTTTATGCTATCTGACATAAAGGAACAAAGGAAACATGATTGTTGATGTAATTCAAGAACTCCCAACTGCTGGATTTTTTCTGCAGGTTAACTCAAAAGAAAGTAAAGCATAAGATTCTCTGTAGAGCTCCTGTTAATTGAAAGAACAAAGAAAGGCAGGACCTTTGTTGCGATCTAAGAATTCCCAAATTTTGATTCTGCTGCGAGTTTTACCCCAATAATACAGTGCAGAACAGGATCTTTTATGCGCTGAAATAACAAAGCAAAACCAGAGTTTTGATGCAATTCATGAACAGTGCAGAACAGGATCTTTTATGCGCTGAAATAACAAAGCAAAACCAGAGTTTTGATGCAATTCATGAATATTTTGATTCTACTAACACTCTGCGCTGAAATAACAAAGCAAAACCAGAGTTTTGATGCAATTCATGAATATTTTGATTCTACTAACACTCTGCTATTTCTTTATAGGAAATCCGAATCGGCTGGCAGTGAGAAGAGGAAGTCACAGTCGATTTCACCATCACCGGAGAAAGAAGATCGGTTCTATACCACGAGAGGGTCAGTGGTTGGTTGTGAAGAGAAAGAGAATGGACACATGAACGGATTTGGTATTGGAATTGGTGGAGACAATGAAGGGGGAGTTATGGTTCTCCCTAGATTCTTTGTTTCTCTTTCAAATAAAGAGAAGGAAGACGATTTCATGGCAATGAAAGGGTGTAAGTTGCCTCAAAGACCAAAGAAGAGGTCTAAGCACATTCAAAAGTGCATACTCGTATGTAAAATTTTCTCTAAGTAGCTTATTTTCTTCTGTTGTTTATTGAAATTGATGGGGATATTGATGGAGTAAAAGGATTTATCTTTTCTTCTTCTAATTTTTTTTCTTTTGGTTATTATTTGTATAGTTAGTGAGTCCTGGAGCTTGGCTAACAGATCTAACACAGGAGAGATATGAAGTCAGGGAGAAAAAGAGCTCAAAAAAGGTTGGTAACTTATTTTGTCTTTGAGCTATTGTGTCTTGTTTTCTATTTTGTTTTATTTTGGTGTTTCATTTCACTATCTTCATCTGGTATTTTGAGCTCTTGTGTCTTGTTTTCTATTTTGTTTATTTTGGTGTTTTATTTCACTATCTTCATCTGGTATATTGTTTGTGATATAGGTATTAGTTATGAAGTATCTTTCTTTTTAAATGTTATCATGGTTTAAGGGATTATTTTCATGTGATTCTTTGGCTGAAAACTTGCATCAAGATTTTTGGCTCATCAATTTTTAGTTTGTTGTTCTTTATTTATGAGTTGACAGTTGTTAATTTCGCTTTACCTGTTCTAGTTTATCTTTATACATTTTCTTAAAGGATATTATGTATGATTTTGTGATTTAGAAACTTACCTTTTCACTTTATATAGGCAGAAATGCATGGTTTTGTGGTTTGTGTAATTCATGTGCATCGGATAATCGGTTCGTGTTTTGATAATTTGATTTGTGCAGAGGAAGAGAGGTTTGAAAGCAATGACCATGGAGAGTGATTCAGAGTGATAATTTAGAGGCAGCAGGTACTAGATTGTCTTCGAACCTTTATTAGGGTTGTAAATTTTCTTGTTTCCTTCTGTTGTTTCTTATGAGAATGGAATGTAATGGGAAAGAATCTTCATTTTTTGGAATTTTCTTGTTTCCTTCTGTTGTTTCTTATGAGAATGGAATGTAATGGGAAAGAATCTTCATTTTTTGGCCTGTTACCAATCTGAAATATTCAAAAATATGAGAATGGAATGTAATGGGAAAGAATCTTCATTTTTTGGCCTGTTACCAATCTGAAATATTCAAAAAAATATTCAAAGCGAGATGGTTCTTTTTTTCCCTATCTATGCAAGTAATTGGGGGTCAATGAATTGCTGTCACTGTAGGCATTGTAGTTGACGTTGTGATCGCTACATGTTTAACTCTTAATAACATCAGAGATATTGAGATATTAACTTCGTTGAGGAGTAAGTATTCAAATGGAGATATCCTTGGCCAAATCTGAGTTATATCTACTTTTTTGGTCTCGAACTTTTACCTTTTTCTCATGAGCGGTATTTTGTTAGCCTTCTAGAGCGTGCCTCGTCAAAATCTGTGACCAGAAAATAGATAGCTTGGGGGAGGCACTTTTTTGGGTGTGCTTATAGTCCATAATTGTCATATCTTGTGCATGATTTTCGTCTATTTGTATTTCAATTTACAAAATGGATTTTGGATCCTCTCCGCTATCGATAGAACCGCGAAGCGTATTTGACATTTGACACGGGGGACGATATTACAAGGATTCTGTTCTCAATTAATAACCCTTAAAAACAATTAGTGAAGTAATTTCTCGTAGGTAAATTTGTACAGGCAATAAATTGTCACCTCTCCTTTTATGACGCAATGTCAAAAATGAGTGAGGACACTTGGGCAATCTCCTGACTTAGGTTCAGCCCATTTAGAGCGCTCGCAAATGTGGAGCCCATTTAGAGCGCTCGCAAATGTGGTTGAGATAAAAGTTGGAGGGAACAATAAATAGACTTGTTCTATGTCCTTACTACTACGTGCCCTTTGAAATAAATAAATGAGAAAGTAAGGCCATTCTATTTCAATAAAAAATCATACCTAAAATTGCAAATTCTTTTTTTTTTGGGTGAGAAAAGCCATCTGCAAGTTAAAATAGTGTCCAAGATTAATCAGGACCTCTTTCAATAAGAACAACACATCTATAGATGTGAAGTATACACGTGCAAGGATAAAATTTACCTGGCTACAATAAACTGTACAATATATATATATATATATATATATATATAATATTTATATATATAATATATATATATATATATATATATATATATAATAAGAACACCACATCTATAGATGTGAAGTATACAAGTGCAAGGATAAAATTTACCTGGCTACAATAAACTGTTACAATTTATATATATATATATATATATATATATTATATATATATATATATATATATATATTATATATATATATATATATATAGATAGATTAATGGGTATCCTTGTCATGGGAGGGGATTTCCTCCTATGACGCCTCTAAAATTACATGATTAAGCGACATTTTAGATGATCCGCTCCGTTGAAATTGATCTACATATTCTAAAACCCCAACACACCAAGTTTGGGGTGAACCCGTCGTCGTTTGACCCTTCATCCACTCGTATCAATTTTAAACGGTTTTGAATGAATAGAACTTTTCACATGGCTCGATGGAGGGTCAAACGACGACGGATTCACCCCAAACTTGATGTGTTGGGGTTTTAGAATATGTAGATCAATTTCAACGGAGCGGATCATCCAAAATGTCGCTTGATCATGTGATTTTAGAGGCGTCATAGGAGGAAATCCCCTCCTATGACAAGGATACTCATTAATCTCATATATATATATATATATATATATATATATATATATATATATATATAATAATATATATATAATAAGAACACCACATCTATTAGATGTGAAGTATACAAGTGCAAGGATAAAATTTACCTGGCTACAATAAACTGTTACAAATTATATATATATATATATATATATATATATATATATATATATATATATATATATATATATATTATATATATATATATAAATATATTATATATATAATAGACCTTACTAAAATCATATAAATCTAAAACCACATTGGAACAAAGCTAGCTTGAGGAACAGAGCATACCATGCCACGGATATGTGATGAAAATTTGTGATCAGATGTTAATTTAAAAACTCTCTTTGCCTGAAATCTTGTTCCTTTTGATTTAACTAGCCATTTTTCGTTCACTCCATGATGAGGACCTTCAACCTTCACAAAACGTCCATAATCTTGAAACTTAGTTCTGTTTATATCCAATTCATGCGAACTCATTGAAGATATGTCTGCAAGTGGTTCATATATGGCCATGTTAATTTTCTGAAGCAAAGCTGTTTTTGAGTCAAATGCATTTTCAGAGTGATAGAACATATGAAACGTCTTCAAGCACGACAGATGCAGTTCTTTCAGTTCCTTCCCCATTTCATTGCCGTCATTAGATTTCACGAGCTCAAGAAATATTCTCTGGTGTTTGTCTAATAGGCTCCTTATATGAGTAATTGCATGTTCAACATCTGCCATAGGGTTCTCTCTCGTGTATAAGAGGACTAGATTCACTTTCCCGTTCTCTATCTCTCTCTGCAATAATTTTTGGTCAGAAAATTGAAAATAGTAGCCTTCACTTAGTTAATTATTGATATGTTTGAATTACCTGATAGCTTCGTGTGTCATTCAATAATCGACACGAAATCATGAGCATTGTGGTAATTGCACTGTGCCCATATTTTGTGAAATAGAGTAGATAATTTGGAGACATCAGAAATGAAGCGGAGAGAATCATTGTTTTTACGGCAATGGAGACCATACCGACTTCTAGGTATTCTTGAATTGATGGAACATATTTGCTTTTGCTCCACATTGCTTCTCTTAGCCATGAGTCTAAAGTTTCATACCACTTCACAGAAAAATGCACATTAACCCCAAATTGTGTAAAGAAAAAAATGTAAATGTTTAGCGAATTAGAGATAAAGAACTTACAATATCTTGTAGCACTCCCTTAACGTAAAGATTATGGTGAGCAATTTCATCAACAAGTTTGTCTAAGGCATTGAAGATGATACTACTTGTACCCGATAAGCTATCTCCATTCCACCTATTATTTGAAACAAATCAAGTAAATGATGAAGGAACTCAAAAAAAAGTGAGTAATTTTCTCATTCTAGAAATATTCAATACCTCATAACGGCATTTGTAAGCTTGTGCAATTCCTCCAGTGAAGCCTTCTCATCAAAGAAATCATCTATGATTGTGATCATGATTGCACATTTTGCAATTACCTTGCGAACATCATCAAAGAGAGGGAGGGGTGATACTGTCGCTATGCCAAAATAGCAAGTTGTAGTTGTCTCTCTTCCAAATCCTATTTCAGAAAGGCATTGATCTTTTGACCACCTAGTATAAAATTCATTAATTGAAGAAAAATGGTTATGAGATAAAGACTTATATTTTGAAAATGTTTGATAAAACCTGAATTAAGTACCTTTTTATCTCCTCAAGTTCAGACCTGTAAATCGACTGTCTCAGTGTAAAACTTTTTCTTGCAAGCTGTATTTGAAGTGAAGTAACTTCTTCTTGAAACCTATATAAACATCACGCGGTGAAATTAGTGAAAGCAGTTAAAATTTAGGCACTTTGTTAACCGATTTTTTTGTTTATACCTGCAAAATGAGCCCTTTTTAATCTGAAAATGATAAATTCCACCATTTTCAATGTACCTCTTATGCTCCAAATGATCCATGCGAGCTAGCCAAGGAACTGATACCTCATGCTCGATCTAAAACCAGCAACAAAGAGGTTCAATTTTTTATTTCAGGCTTTTTATTTCTGAAATTCAGTAAGTACACTCGCATTCCTTGAATTTTACCTCCTTTTGAAGCTCAGTGAGATCAGTTGCATCATTTTTATTTGACAATATTCCTTTCTGCAGTATCTTTTTAGAGAAAGCTTTAGCCTTCTCGAGTTCAGGTTCATGGGAAAGGCAAATATGTGATGCTTTGTAGACATCGTACATAACTCGCAAAAAGTCAGTATAGTTTTCTTCTATGTAGCTGAGCATTTCATTGTCCTCTAGAAACCAACAAAATCTCCCTATAAAAGTGAAACTACATTAGTCGATTAGTGGGAATCATATTGCAATATATATATGGATATGTAGCTTGTGCCGTGAAGAAAACTTACTGGGAGAAACTTGATAATTATGCATCCTCAGTAGTCGAAAAGCTAAGGCATCTTCGTTGATCTGCGGTATAATGTTGTGTTTTTCTCGAACTTGAGGTTCTTCTCTTCCTGTCCAATTTCTTATAGTTTTGACAAGGAGAGAGTCAGTTATCTCACATGATTTATTGTCTATTTGATTCGAAGACTGAATAAAGGCCTGAATTACTAAGTAAAGAGATTGTGAGGATTATAATTCTACTCCCACCTTCAACTTGAAAATTTTGATTTTGGTTATAGTTTTAGTAAATACAGGTAATTTCATCGTTCGCTCTCAGTTATTTTCTACCTTATCCAAAATAAGTATTTCTATAATCCAGTAAGTTTAGTAAGAAACCTGTAGGCAATTTCCATAACCTTTGATATCTCCTCACTGAAATGCTCACCACAACCTAGTCTTTGCAAGTGATCCACCAAGCACAGTTTTATGTGCTCCTCATTTATTGGGTACGTGGAATGAACTGCATATCGTTATGTTAGCTACTATCTAATAACATAAATAATAATTTTCTTATTAAGAAAAATTCCATACGATTACCTTTATCCCCACATCTTTTTAGCATATTTTCCAAATATGCCATGCAACTAATATCGCCAGTTGCGATAAAAGCAAAAGCAGTAGCTGATGGCGACTGAAACAATGAGCCATCTTCATTTCGGTATTTTGTGAGTATTTGATTGTAATTAGCTTCAATATAGGAGGTTGGCAAGGCTTCAAGGTACAGTTCAATTGGCAGATATTGACATCCATTGTTGTTTTTGTCCCTGGGATACACACATACAACATTGAGCAAGGATATTACAAACATCAGTTTTTCTTATTTTCTTTGCTTTCTTTCTTACCTTTTTTTATGGACAAATTTTTAGGCTAATCATTGTTTGATGTGCTTTTTTTAAGACATAGGCGATCAATCAATAACGTCAAACCTTAAGATTCAACATAGGAGTCAGGAGGTAGCGAAGGATATGCTTTATTATGCTTGACTTTAAAATTATATGATGTTCATATCAGTCACATCATACAAAGTCAACAGATATAAAACAGAGGGACTTTTTTTTGGCATTTATACTTCCTTAAATTAGCATTTTTTTAATCTTCTAAAAGCATTTTAATAGCACTTGATACTTATTTACATTTGAGTAACCTTAAAAAGTCATGAATATTGCATATAAGCTCGTGACATTGGTGTCTACATATAATTATAACTAATTTGTATCAAAACTAATTTATTGATAACTAATAACTAACTACTCAAGATTATTGTTTGATACTTTGCGTCTTGACAAATTACTTGAGAACTACTCATGCTGTGCACTTGATCCATTTTTTTTCGACACAAAACAACTATATATTGATCAGTAAAAAAAATTAGAAGAGACAGAATAACGAGAGAGGTTACTTCTTGAGTATTCGTTGTCTTTCATCGAAGATGGTTTTGATGATCTTTTTGCAGCCTATTGGAAGAAGGACCTCTAAGCCATTGTTCTGTGCAAGGTCGAGCATGCATGGGAAAATAAGAGCGAACCATCGAGGTACAACATTAGAAACATTATTGCTCATGAGCATCCTCTCCATATTTGCGTGAAGAAACTCTAACCCTGGCAACATTTTGAAACATATAGAGTGAGATAAATGCTAGCTATAATTGATTTGGGGAGGAAAAAGACACAATCTTGTTTGGATTGCTGTAATTGCAGATGTTCAATTCACCATGAATCATAAATCTAGTTCTTTCGTCGCAAAAGTGTTCCATTGTAATTGGCGACTTCAGCAAATTTTTAGATGTAAGCCACAGTTGCAACCTTACGAGGAAGAAAAGAAGCTTAAATTCCAAAAATACTTTGAAACCTAAAAAATAAACTCGTTTAACCTCAATTGCAATTACATATTGCAAAAATTTAAAATTGAACCAAACAGGTGTAACTATGAGCGCATGTGAAGCAGTTGCAAAACCTGCGGTTACACACAACTAGCGCTTGTGCTAAAATCACAGCTGCATTGAATCAAAACATCACACTGCTTATATAAGGCTTGCCTTTCTCAATATGTCGAGAGCCAACATGCCATTTCTTTAGCGCAAGCAAGCAAGCAAGCGTGTCGGTAATGCGCCCAAGCCCATCATGCTCGCCCCAGTATCCTCCATTCTTTTGGTTACGCAGTATCCAGTCCAGACATTGCGGAAACATCGCCTGTTCACATTGCTGAGGATCAGGAACCATCGCCACCCACGCGGTGTCGTAGGCCGAGATGGGCAGAAAGGCGTAGAGATTGGAACTGGAGGAGAACACCTGAGTCTTGACCTCATGAGCCATGAAGTTGATGTCCGATTCCATGTTTAATGTGCAATTGAGCTGCATCCAAACTGGAGAGAAGATAAATACATGTCTTTTACAGTTACAAGAACGTTGAGGTGTTTGGTGGGACATAAAGTCAAAGGACGCATGCACGTATTTTACGTGCAAACAAAAAGATTTTGACTTAAAAAAAAATCACTTTTAAACTAGAGATGTCTATGTATAATTAGTTCTGAACATAAGAATCTTTGGTACTTTTTCGTGTCATATTCATTAAATGATAATCGGTTACAATGAAAAAAATGACGTCCCAATATATGAAATCGGTCCTTAAACAATTAGTTTTCCCAATATATGAAATCAAGTATGCAGACATCGAAAGGTGTTGATAGAGAGAGGGGGCACTCAGTAACATATACCAGTAAACTCAAATATTTTTTTTTTGTTGCCCGCTGAGCTCTCGCTCAATCTCACTCTTATATATATATAGCTCTCCTGGTCCCCGGGCGTCATAGTACTGTTTGTGCGTCACGATTTCGATTTTGTTTTTGCTAAGGATTCTAGGCATGCTTACTTCGCATGTGTTGGTTGGCTTTTAGCTAGTACGCTTTCTAAGCGGCTTGCAATTGCATGGAGCATGATTTAGCTCCGTCCTCGTGGAAGTATGAAACGCGCTCTCTAAGCGGCTTGCGTGTCCAATATCTACTTGTCAGATGAACTTCTACCTGGAAGTCCCAGCGGCTTTGTTTTTTCTAGCCGCCTCTTCTACGCGCGTATCGAGCGGGGGGAACACAGAGCTTTGTTTTTGGTATTCAGGGGAGCTTTTTAAAATCATACTTGATTCCCTTTAGAAGCACGGGTTCGAAAAAAACTTTTCATGATTAATATTAACCTTCACTATTTTAAATATCTTATTTAAATTTTAATCTACGGCCTAATCCTAAGTATATATTATACGTTAATCCTATGAGAACTACCTATAGCTCCACAATTTGAAAAAAATTAAGTGTATCCTACATTAATCCCATGTGAACTACATATAGCTTAATAACTTAAAAAAAATTAAGAGTAATAAAATATATAAAACAACTCCACGATATTAGTTTGTTAAGGTGAAGAAATCATACGCAGCTAACATGCTATAATACATGTAGTGTTACGAAAAAACCCAAAATTTTTAAAAATTACACAATACCCTTAAAAGTTCAAAATTATAAAAAACAATCCGATCGACTTTTAAAAACTTAAAATAACAAACATGAAATCTGAATATTAACACCAGCCCCGAAAGAATTCAAAATTTATAGTTGACAATCTCAATATTTCAAAAATTATAGAAACACCATCAAAAGTTCAAATTACAAAAAGCTAGCACTCTGAAATTCTAAAATTTTAAAACTTACAAACAACATAAATAAATCCAAAGGATTACCATTACGCCACCTAAAAATTTAAAATATGTAAAAAAACGTAAAAGTTATAGAAATTGCAAAAAAAAAAAGAACCACCTCAAGTTAAAATTTGCAAAAAAAACCTGAAATTTCAAAACGTATAACCAATA